CCATCCTTGCTGGCAGCATGAACACAACACAAAAGGTTGCAGTTATGGGTCGTAAGCCATCACCTGATTGGCATAAGGAGGGTGCCATGGGTCACTTTCCAAAGCAGGGGGAATCATCGCGTTCCACTGGTAAGCTACTGCCTGTTGTAATGCCAGGCAGCCCTCTATCAGTTAGGTGCTGACCCACCACATTTTGTCTGCCTCATTGGGTGCATGAGGCTGGGCCAAAAGCCGAAAAGCAGATAGAAACCTCTCATTTGACAAAAACAAGAAACCAAGAACTTCGCAGCTTGGAAGCTGGAATGTCAGGACCATGTGTCCTGGCCTGACAGACTATGATGACCTACAGTACACAAGCAGCATATCAAAGCCAGTCTTGATTGACCATGAGCTACACAAACTCAGAGCTGACATTGCAGCACTCCAGGAAAAAAAACTTGCACGTGCTGGTTCTATCCAAGAGGCTAACTGTACCTTCTTTTGGCAAGGTAAAAGTGCAGAAGAAAATCATTCCTATGGCATCAGTGAGCTCACTGTGAGCAAGAAGTTGGTAAATCTTATTGAAACACCCACTGGGAATCAGAATCATAGAAATTAAGGGCTGGAAGGGACCTCAGAAGATCAACCCTCTCTGCTCTGGGCAGGAATAGTGCTGAGCTCAAATGATCCCAGCAAGGTGTCTGTCTAGTCTCCTCTTAAAGACTTCCAAGATTAGGGACTGCACCACCTCCTTGGGATGTCTATTCCAGATTCTGGTCACCCGTACCATAAAGAATGTCTTCCTTACATCCAACCTGAAACCATCCTCTAACAGTTTATGGCCATTGCTCCTTGTCCTCCCCTGGGGCACCCTAGTGAACAGGTTTTCTCCCAGCTCCTGATATGCGCTCCTTACATCATTATAGACAGCCACCAAGTCCCCCCTCTATCTTCTCTTCCCCAGGCTGAACAGTTCTTCTCTGGGCCCTTTCAAGATTCTCCACATCTTTTTTGAAGTGTGGTGCCCAGAACTGGACACAGTACTCCACTTGTGGTCCCACAAGTGCTGAGCAGAAAAGAAGCATCACCTCCTTTGTCCTACTTACGATGCATCGGCTAATGGATCCCAGTATGCTATTAGCCCTGTTGACTACAACATCGCACTGGTGGCTCATGTTCATCCTGTGATCAACCATAACCCTAAGGTCCCTTTCAGCCATTGTGTTGACCAGGACATCTCCTAACCTATATTCATGTCACTGGTTACTTCTCCCCAGACGATGCAGTCTGCATTTATCTTTATTAATTGCCTCCGGTTCCACTCTGCCCACCTTTCTAATTTGTCCAGGTCTGCTTGAATCGGCATGCTATCCCCTAGCGTGACCACTTTTCCCCATAACTTAGTATTGTCCGCAGACTTGGCCAGCTGCTCTCCATGTCCTCATCTAAATCATTGATACAGATGTTGAACAGCACATGACACCACTGGCCATGTTCCACCAAGAATATACAGACCCGTGCACTAACACTCTGGTTCGATCCCTTAGCCAATTCCCAACCCACTTGACTGTGTACTCTGACAGCCTACAATCCTCCAGTTTTTGGTTTGTTTTTTTTATAAGTGTCATTCATGGGAGATCATATTGAAGGCCTTGTTAAAATCGAAGATGTGACATTAACCATGTCTCCCAGATCCAAGCAGTTCATTACTTGATCACAGAAGGAGATGAGGTTGGTCACACACGACTTGCTCGCAATGAACCATGTTGGCTGTTCTTCAGAATCATGCCTTCTGCCAGTTTCATATATGAATTTCTTAATTTTTTCCAAATTTTTACCTGGTATCAAGGTGAAACTGACTGGCCTATAGTTTCCCAGATCCTCCCCTTCTTAAAGATTGGGACCACATTGGCCCTTTTCCCATCTCCCAGGACCTTTCCTGAGCACCACAAGTCTTCAAATACTTTGGCCAACTGTCCACAGTGACTCCAGCCAATTTCCTCAGTGCTCTCAGGTGTAGTCCATCTGGTCCTGCCGACTTGAAGACATTCACCAATCTAAGGGCTCCGTCACCCTTTCAACACTAACCATTAGTTAGCAATCACTCCCTGCCCCCCAGAATCCAACCAGGTGGGCAACCACCATTTGTATGCAGGAACACTGACATAAAGTATTAATTAAAGAGTTCTTCTTTCTCCTGACTGTCTATTATCAGCTGTCCTGTCCCATTCTGCAGGGGCCCCACATTTTCCTTGGTCTTTCTTCTGCTCCCTATATACCTAAAGAAGGACTTCTTATTGTCCTTTGTTTTGGTTGCCAACCTGATCTCAGTTGCCACCTTTACCTTCCTTATGCTCTCCTTATAAATACGGGCTATATTTATGTACTCCTCGTTGGTGACTACCCCTTATTTCCACTGTCCATAAGCCTCCTTTTTTAAGCACTCCTTGATTCCTCTGGGTTTTTCATAGAATTCATAGACATTAGGGCTAGAAGGGACCTTGTGAGATCATTAGGGCAAAGAGTCAGCTGGGGTCAGATGATCCCAGCAAGATAATCATCCAAACACTTTTTGAACATGTCCAGAGTAGGTGCTTGCACCACTTCTGTGGGGAGTCAATTTCAGACTCTGGAGACTCAGACAGTAAAGAAGTTTTTCCTTGTGTCCAGTTTAAAATGGTCTTCCAGCAGTTTGTGACTATTCAATCTTGTCCTCCCTTGGGGTGCCCTGGTGAAGAGATGTTCTCCCTGATCCTGATGGTAGCAGCCTATATCAGGGGCATGCAAGTCCCCCCTGAGCCTATGCTTTTCCAAGCTAAGGAGTCCCATTCCTCAGCCTCTCCTCATAAGGCCAGCTCCCTTGACTTCTAATCGTAAGACCTAAGAGGACTTCCCGGTCCCTTTACCACCTTTCCTGCGCTCTTAAGGATTCCTCCTTTGAGAAATGATCACCCTTCCTGAACTCCTTTCCCCTCCACTCTCTCTTTCCATAGTATCTCTTTCACTATTTTCCTAGGCTCATTGAAGTCAGCTTTCCTGAAGTCAAGCACCTCTGCCTACTGGCTGACTTCCCTGCCCTACAACGGCTAGAGAATTCAGAACTCAAAGTGCATCAGCTCAGACTTCAGACAACCATTGGCTTTGCAAACATCATCAGTGCTTATGCACCAACATTCAACTCCAACCCTGAGGAGAAGGATAAATTTTATGACACTCTGCACCAAGTTGTTAAAGGAATACCATCAACTGAGCAACTGTTCCTCCTTGGAAACTTCAGTCCAAGAGTTGGCACAGATGACAACTCATGATCAGATTGTCTAGGATATTTTGGTATCAGCAAGATGAACGAAAACGGACAACAACTTCTTGAATTCTGGACCTAAAACCAACTGTGCAATACGAATTCATATTTTCCTGGCAAAGATTGCCAAAAAGTGTCATTGTGACATCCACGATCAGGTCACTGGCACCAACTAGACCTTGTTATTGTTGGAAGGAAAAAATCTACCTTCGGTGCAGAAGACCCACACATTCCACAGTGCCAATTGTGACGCTAACTACTCCCTGCTTATTAGCAAAGTGAAGATTACAGCCAAAAAACTACATAAAGCAAAAACTAGGAGCAAGCCCAAAATCAATACCACTAACACCAAGAAAGTGCCAAGAGTTTGTGAAGGCTTTTGAACTCAGCATGTTTGGGAAATCACTACCAGAGAAGGCAGAGGAAATTTGGGAAGGTTTAAAAACTGTAATCCATGAAATAGCTAAAGCTACAGTTGAGGAAAAGAGACTGAACCAGTCCTTGTTGGACAAAGAAAATGCATAGCTGTTCTCTCTCATCAACATCAAGAACACAGCCTATCTGGGACACAACAGGAAGCCAGCAGAGAGCACCGAAGCAAGACTTCAACAGGCAAAAAATGAGGAACAGAGAGCAACCAGACACTGCCAACCAGTACTGGACTATGTGATGAGGTAGACAGCCTCAGTCATAGGAAACCTAAAAGTCATGTACGATGGTCTGAAGAAAGCTCTAGGCCCTACTGTCAACAAGGTTGCCCCTCTCAAGTCATGCAGCAGTGAAGCCATTACAGATAGAAGCAAACAGATGTCTTGTTGGGTTGAACACTACTCAGAGCTATACTCACAAGAAAGAAACATCAGCAGCAAATCACTGGACCAAATACCAACTCTACAGGTCATGGCAGAGTTAGATGTGGAGCCCACTGTAGAAGAAGCTAAGCAAGGGCATTGATTCATTATCAAGTGGCAAGGCTTCAAGAAAAAAGGGCATCTCATTGGAAATTCTGAAGTTCTCAAGAAAGAAAGCCTACTACCATATCTTCATCAGCTGCTACTCAAATGCTGGAAAGAGGGTTACGTACCACAAGATAGGCATGACACAAACAGTGTCACTGTATAAAAATAAAGGTGATAAGGGTGACTGCAACAACTACAGAAGCACCTTGCTACTAAGTATAGCAGGAAAAGCTTTCACAAGGGTCATCTTGGTGTGCCTGCAACAGCTGGTGAGTCATGTTTACCCTAAATCTCAGTGCAGATTCAGGGTTGGAAGATGAACCATAGACATGATATTTTCCCTGTGTCAACTTCAAGAAAAGTGCAGAGAGCAATACTGACAGTTGTATATCAACTTTGTGGACCTAACCAAAGTATTTTACTGTTAGCAGAATAGGCCTACTTGCAGTCTTAGAAAAGACAGGATGTCTTCCAATCCTGTTAAGTCTTATACGTTCCTCCCACAGCAACATGAAAGCAACTTTAGTTTGATGTGTCCACTTCAGACAGCTTTGAGATTAAAAGCAGAGTGAAGCAAGGATGTGTCCTTGCCCATTACACTCTTTGGAATCATCCTGAACTGCGCATTTAAAGACATGGAAGGTGAGTGTACCTCCACACAAGTTGATATGGGAAACTTTAACTTGCCATGACTTAAGGCAAAGACTAAAGTTATCAGGGAGCTTCTATTTGCCAATTATGCTTGAACCAATTTGCCAATTATGCTTGAACCCCACAATGAAGACCTACTGCAAGAACTCATGGATCACCTCTCAAGAGCTTATCAGGCATTTGCTCTCACCATCAGCTTAAAGAAAACAGTTGTACTAGGACAAGGAGTGCCACAAGATCCATCAATCACCCTTGGTGAGAACCAGCTGGCAGTAGTCCAAAAGTTAAGCTAACCCGGTTCTTCAGTGACCACCAGCCTCTCATTGGATGAAGAACTTAATGGGTGCGCTGGTAAAGCCACCACCTTCCACCTGCGCTATTTACACTGCATACTTGGTGTCTGAGCAGATTGGAAGATGGACGTATACCGAAGGACATACTATATGGAGAACTTTTGGAGGAAACTAGAACAACAGGACATCCCAAGCTTCAGTACAAAGACGCATACAAGCGAGATATGAAGGCATTTGGAATTGATCCTGACCAATAGGAAACCTTGGCAAGCAATTGGAACAAGTGGCATCATAGTCTCCACCAGGGCATCAAAGTCTACAACAGGAATTGACTTCAAGAGTCTGTTGGAAGCAAGCAGCTCACGAACCACACAACCATGACACACATACTTGCAACCACTGCCACAGAGCATGCAAATCTTGGATTGGACTATTCAGTCACGAGTCACTGCAAACCGTCTGTCATAGGCTGGAACATCCACCATCTCTTGCAGATGAAAGTATGCCAATGATCAAGATGCAGCTCACAAAGGCATGTCTCTTTACAATGCCTTGTGCAGAAATTGGACCCAAGCACGATGCTTTGTTGTTTCACACAGAGGTCATGTGGCTATCCAGGGGTAAAGTGTTGCAATGTATTTATGAACTGAGAAATAAACTTTGACGTTTTCTGTTGGATTTGAATTTCAGCAATTTCAAAGACACTGCGATCCCCATTGGCTTGTGCTTTTGGCTTGCTTTGCATATACTTTTGACAAATGGAATTCTCATTGCAAGGAGCAGAAAGTACTGTTTTTGACCTGTAAAGCAAGGTAACTGCATTCAAGAGAAAGCTGGATCTTTAGAAAAGAAAGATCAAAACTGATTCAAGTGTC